ATGCAAAGTAAATCAAGAAATATCCAAAAATTATATAACCAATTTTAAAAAAAACTAGAAACCAGTCAACATTTAATGAATAAATAAATAGACATTATTAAAAAGATTGTTCAAAAAGGTACAATTTAAGGCGACGACGAGAATGAAATGTAGTTTGTTTTGTTGGTGTGGTGTTGTGAAGCGAAAACAACCACATCACACAAAACTAGTAAGAAGTCGCAAGAATAAGTCAGTCACCTACCTATAATAAAATTACTCTCAGGGCCCTAGCTTACTTATAAACATTGACTCAACTCACTTACCTACAAATTTGTATTTCTCGTTTTAGATGTTTCAAGTATTTTATTTAACATATTTTAGCGTTTTTATTTTACTTGAAGCTTTTTAACTAATGTTAAGCCCTAGCCTACCTACAATTGTTTAACTCATCTCAGTCCCTAACTTACCTATGAATTAAATTAAAGTCTGGTTCACGGTAAAGAAAATATAAAGTTGAAGAGAAACATAGCAACAACGACACTGAATGAATGGATGTTGTGTATGTATGTGTTGTATTTATGTGTGTGTATGTAAATGTGCGTGCGCGCACTCTTCAGAAACTTCACTCACTACCGACGAACCTCCATTGCACCGACCATCATCTGACACGCATCGATGGAATGAATTTGACCGGATACTGAAAAATAAATTGAAAGAAAAATTAATTTACTAAAATAAAAAAACAAGCAATTGGAAAAAATAGGCAACTTATCTTTTTGAGATAAAACTCAATCTTTGTTCAAATTCGAGTACTTTCAAAGGTACAATGAGACAAAAACAAATTTACCTTTAACATTATCTTCGATTTGTCATCGGAACGATCATCATGAGACCACCATCTGAAACGTGCTGACGCCCACCACAGCCCACCTCTCATCATTCTGTAGACAAGGTTTTATTAATTAGCGAAGTAGTAAATCAAGAAACAAAGGAACGACGAATAAATGATTAACTGAATGATTGAACGATTGGTTGAATGAATAAATTAACTAATTAATCAACAAATGATTTAATGAATGAATAAAATGATTCAATGAATAAATTAACTGAGGAATAATTTGAAAGATAGTGATAAAATGAATGAATGAATGAAAAAAATAAAAAAAAGAAACTAAATCATACTTCAAAAACCGTCGTTGTTGTTATCTTCGAATTGTCATCGGAACGATCATCATGAGACCTCCATCTGAAACGTGCTGATGCCCACCACAGCCCACCTCTCATCATTCTGTAGACATTTTTTTAATAGCGTATTAGTAAATCAAGGAACAAAGGAACGATCGAATAAATGATTAACTGAATGACTGAATAATTGGTTGAATGAATGAGTGAATGAATGAATTAATTAATAAATCAATGATTCAATTAATGAATAGAATGAATTAACGAATCAATTAATAAAAGAATAATTTAAAAGGTTGAGTGATAAAATGAACGAATGAGAAAAATAAAAAACGAAACTAAACCTTACTTCAAAAATCGTCGTTACTGTACTTTCCATTGCACCGACCACCACCATCTGGTCGGCACACAAAATACGATCCAAACTTCAGAGTGTCAGTCGAACAGCCAACGAGCTGATTCTTCCTATACCACCATCATCATATGTAAATAATCATGAGACCACCATCTAAAACGTGCTGACTCCCACCACTGTCCACCTCTCATCATTCTGTAAACAAAATTTTTTTATTTGCGTAGCAGTAAATGAATGTTAGAATTTTAGAAGCAAAAAGTTATAAAATGGAAATAATGACAAATAAATAATATCTGAAAATAATAAAGAGATTAAAATGAAAAAAAAACTTACCGTCGTCCATTCGACAAAGGCAGAATGTTGAATGCTTTCTGGTTCCTGCGTTGTCCTCCAAAACTGGTGTCAGTCCTCCTCGAGATTGTTGTTGAAACACAGCCCGTGGAATGGAGAGAGAAAATTCTCATCAGAAAGCTTAGCGGTGCCTGCATCTCAAATTGCTTAATAAAAATAATCCTATCTACCTATTCAATTACCTTAACTAATTTATAATAAATTGTAAATGGTACGATAGTCGAAAGTTCCCCTTCATTCTCCCTCCTTGCACAGAGGTTCACCGACAGCCAGGGCACCGGATAGTAAACCGTTGCCGTGCGGATAGTAGACTACTGCCTTGCGGATAGTAAACCATTTGCCGTCCGGAAGCCGTGCGGGTAGTAGACTATGGCCATGCCGCATAGTAATTCATTACCGTGCAGATAGTAAACCATTGCCGTCCGGATAGTAAACCATTGCCGGTTCACCACTGGCCGCCAAGGCTTACCTCTGACAAGAGACTTCGAAATTCAGAGTCTATCGGCTATCGTACCCTCAACTTACCTATTCATTACAATTAAGCCCTAGCTTACCTAAAATTACAAAACTCAAGAGCCCAATTCATTGGCCTTTCGGCACCCACCCCACCACCTACGTAATGCCTTGGGCTCCAACTTAGTAATAATAATATAAAACTTAAACCCTAAATCTATTAATGAGTATGTGTTACAACGTAGCCTTAACCTACCTATTCATTACATTACGGTCCTAGCTTACCTAAAATTACAAAACTCAAGAGCCCAATTCATTGGCCTTTCGGCACCCACCCCACCACCTACGTAATGCCTTGGGCTCCAACTTAATAATGATAATGTAAAACTTAACAATTAACCTACCTATCGATACACTTACATCGTTTTAATTTACATTACAAGATTTTTCCTAGAATTACATTATTGCTCTTAACTACCTATGAAATTAAATTACTCTCAACCTTAATAATAATAAATTAGAATGTGTAATGAAAATAAAATTACGCTCAAATACTAACACATGTGTTTATGTATGTATTTGTGTGTTTGTGTGTAATACGCTGGTGCGTGTAATGTGGGTGCAAGATAAAATAGAAGAGATAAACTTACGCTGCCTACCTATTCAACTACATTAGTGTTGGATGCTCCCTATCTATCCTACCTACAATTAAAATTAGGCCTATCTAACCTACCTATATAGCTACTTAATGTAATTGTGTGTGCGTGTGTGTGCGTGTGAGCATTCCTACTTAATGTTAAATTACAGAAAAAAAGAAGAAAACGTATCCCAGTCAGGCAGGTATTCTTTGCCACTGAATGAACGAACGTAGCCTGACATCTTCCATGATGAACTTCTCTGGAAGCTTCAACCTGAATGAAATGAAAAAATCCTATTTAATTAATTAATTTAAATGAAAATAGAGAAACGAGCCGCGGTGAAATCCACCAGCCGGAAAAGCCAGCAAAATGGCAAAAAAAGAAAGAGTTAAGAAACCGTAAAGTCGGAAGTTAGGGTTAAGGTTGAACGTAGGGTGACATCACAACCATTCTGATCCTCCACGACGAACTCCTCTGGAAGCTATAACCTGAATGAATGAACCTGAATGAACCTAGGTGAATGGACAAATCTTATTTAATTAATTTAAATGAAAATAGAGGTATCTATATAGGATTTATGCTCTATATAACTCTATATAACTCTATATAACTCTATATAACTCTATATAACTCTATATAACTCTATATAACTCTATATAACTCTATATAACTCTATATAACTCTATATAACTCTATATAACTCTATATAACTCTATATAACTCTATATAACTCTATATAACTCTATATAACTCTATATAACTCTATATAACTCTATATAACTCTATATAACTCTATATAACTCTATATAACTCTATATAACTCTATATAACTCTATATAACTCTATATAACTCTATATAACTCTATATAACTCTATATAACTCTATATAACTCTATATAACTCTATATAACTCTATATAACTCTATATAACTCTATATAACCATGCATACTACCACATTCAATCAATAAAAATCCCACTAAAACCAGGAACCACCGCGTATCTGCTGAATGTATGATGTGAAACAAAACAAAACAAAACAAAAAAACAAAACAAAAATCACACCACCAAGTAGAGTAAAAGAATAGGAGTCCCTAACCTACCTATGTAACTAAATTATCTTATGCCCTAGCCTACCTATATAATAAATTAATTTTTAACTCGCCTACCTATGCTTCATTAACTTAACTCAAGACTCACGAAGAAAGAGAAAAAGGAGTAAAACAGAAAATAAAATACTACCACACAAACCAGCTATATTCTTATGTATGTGTGTATGTATGAGCAACCGTTAAAGAACCCACCTAAAATTAAAAAAATAACACCTACAAACATTCAAACCACCTACAAACATGCAAACTCTACATAACTCTATATAACACTATATAACTCTATATAACTCTATATAACTCTATATAACTCTATATAACTCTATATAATAAAATAAATAAAAATAAAAAAATTTTAAAAATAAAATAAATGAGATCAGACAGACTGCTTCAAGCGAGGCAGAATGCTGATCTGATTTTTATGTTGTCTCAGCTCCTCTATTTATACTTGTTTCAACCATACATTCTCATCATTTCAATTATTCGCATCAGTAAAAAACTTGTTTAATGTATATACTGCACTATTATACAGTCTTAACCACAATGCTAACCGTACTAAATTGAAGTCATCGAACGAACGCCTTCGAAACTTTCTGGTTGGCTGGTTGAATCTGCTATATTGCTTTTCATATAAACATATAATCTAATATAATATAATTTAATTATTTGTATACATGGATTCCAGTCACTTTATATATATATAATAAAAATTCATTATAAAAGCAACAGTAATCAGTGCTATATATGTAAGCACGCAGTTCAAATTTTTCTGGGAGAATTCAAAATTGTTTGAGACCACACCTTGCTTGACATCCAATTCCAAGCCAAGCCAAGCCAAGCTGAGCCAATATGCATAAATTCATTATAAAAAACAACAGTAGCCATTACTATATATGTACGCACGCAATTCAAAATAGTTTGAGACCACACCTTGCTTAACATCCGATTCCAAGCCAAGCCAAGCTGAGCCAATATGCATAGATTTATAAGCGCTTTTATGTTAATATTTTGCTCGCTATATTTATATATTTTATAAATTCATTATAAAAAACAACAGTAGCCATTACTATATATGTACGCACGCAGTTCAAATTTTTCGGGGAGAATTCAAAATAGTTTGAGACCACACCTTGCTTAACATCCGATTCCAAGCCGAGCCAAGCCAAGCTGAGCCAATATGCATAGATTTATAAGCGCTTTTATATTAAAATTTGGCTCGCTTTTTAAACGAATATCCCAATATAACAAATTCTCCATCCTATTTTAACTTTCTTTGATGCTTTTTAATCAGTCAGGTCACAAAAATCATTATCGATATCGCAATGAAATCAATTTGAAATTTTTTTTTAATTATTGATAAAATTTTTAAATTGTTGATAAAAATAACTAGTATGAATAGTGTAGTAAAACGTTTAAAATTTTCTGAGAGAATTCAAAATAATTTGAGACTACACCATAACACAATTGTACAATTTGAATGTGTAAACACAACATTATAAATGTGTTATAACTACGTGTATATATCTATCTATTTCTTTATTTAGTTCTGCCTGTGTAAAAAATCCCCCTCCAATTTCCCTCCGGAAGTAAGCTCCTTGTTCGACCGTCAAAAATGAGCGAAGGCCGTTATATTTATTCTAATTATATGGTTTGATAGGTTTGACAAACAACTGATATAAAATAGTTATGTTTTTTATTCAACAAATCAGAATCTGAAAGACGATATTATGAAATGAAAAAAACAAAAAAAATTAACAGAGCAGAAAGGATTATATTTCGAAAATTAAATAACGAATTTAGAAACTGATAAATAAATGAATTAATGAATTAATTATTTATTAAATGACTGGATAAATAAGTTTAATATGTTAAATAAAGAAACCGGAGATTAAAGAAATGACAAATGATTATTGAGCTTTAACATGTTGGGATAAAAAAATTATAACTCATAATTATAAATTATGATTATATTTATATGATTATAATTATGATTTATAATTTATAAATATAATTACCATGAAATTATAAGTCACCCAGCCAATTAAGAAGAAATCGAAAAAGATAACAAAATTGACGTAGAAACAATGGCAAAAGTAATTAACTAGTTTGCTTATTTTATAATTCACTGAAGGTTTCGTTATAATAAGAACAACATCATCTTCGTCATCATCAGCAACATCAAATAACGTCATAATTCGTCTTGTCATTTATTTTTTGCTCGGCTTTCTCCTGACTGACTCCCGGCATCGGCACTTCCAATTCCTCTTCCTTCTTCGCCGTCGTCTCTCTCTTCTTGTTTTTTTCCATGTATTCTTTGGAAAAAGATTTGCTTTAAAGTCGTCATTACCATTATCATCATCATCAAAACCGTAATTTTCATCATCATCAACACCGTAATTTTTATCATCAACATCATCAACAACACCGTAATTTTCACCATCATCATCATCATCATTGTCACAGTCGTCACAAACATCTACATCACCGAGACAATAATCATAATTATTTAATTATTAATCATCATTATTATTATTATGTTATTTATAATTTAGAGGCTACAACGACAACGCGCAACCCATCATAGGCTTTGCGTATCACAGATGGCAGAGACTTCTCTGCATTTAAACACGATCACGGCAGAAAAGTAGGAGACGTCTTTACCCGTTAGGTCATCATGCCAAATTAAAATGCAAAAATGATATCTACTCAGTAGAACTATCCCGATCATGGCGATGAGGACGAGGAAGAAGAGTGGGAGGACGACTATCAAGACGATCGGCAGATCCGGAGCGTTTGAGAAACCTGCTGTGTATGTGTGTATGTATGGATGGATGAATGGATAGATGGATGCATGGATGGATGGGTGGATGAATGAATGGATTGATAGGTAGATAGATAGATGGATCTATAGATAGACTGGCAGATAGATGTATTTATGGAAGAATGAGTGGATGTATGGATGGACAACAAGCAGACCGACAAACAGGCAGTCAGACAGACAGAACTTGAAACGAATCTCATACTTATTTTTAAAAATTTTGACAGAGACATGGACAGACAGACAGATTGATAGACATAAAGTTAGATTAAGTAGACAAATAAATGACTTTTTAGACATGAAAATAATACAAATTTTTTTTGAATAAATTTAAAATTCACTTCAAGTTTTTCAAAGACTAAAAACCAATTGAGGTCTAACTTTTTCTCGTGTTCTCATACATGAGTGCATCATAATACTTCTTTGCTGGATCAGATTTTTTCACATAAAATTAATTTTTTATAAATTTTTCACGACATAATAATCCCGGACATACCTCCAATAACAAACATTTTATTAACTGTAAGGGACTTTCGCTTGTTCGTAGGTCCGGAATAGGCAGTACACGTGACGTTGTAGATCCCGATCACGTGGAAGATCAGCTGATCCTCGTCGATGCTGTACGGGACTTCCGTTGTGGTAGTTTCGTTTTTCGGCGTCCGAATGGTTTTAATTTCAAATTTCCAATCGTCGTCGTGTTGGTCAATGACGGCCAGACAGTAGGTGGGGAGGTCGACGTCGTACGTCATCTCTAAACTGTCTTTGTCGCTCGAGTCTAAGTCTTTGTGGTTTGTGGTGGTAGATTGCTATTTGTTGTGTGGTTGTGTAGTTGCTGTTTGCGCTGTTGCTTGCAGTGGCGGATCTGGGGGGCGGATCTGGGGGGCACTGGACCCCCAGTTGTGTGTGTAATTCGTTTTGAAAGATGGTAAAAGTCGATGTTTTAACGTGAACAGCAGTGTTTTTTTTTGTAGGGAAAATTGACATCATAAATAAGCCCATCAGCAGAAAAGTTGGCCCTCCCCGTCCAAATGCTGACCACCCTGCGAGAACAGAAAAATTTTCAAAAAATCCCCCTACCCCGGTCGTCAAACATTGGCTTCGCCGTCAAATTTGATTTGTCAAGATCCGCCACTGATTGTTTGTGGGGTTTTTTTGGGTGTGTTTGGTTGTTTGTTTGTGAGGCACATTCACATTTTGTTCAGTTGTTTGTTTGAACGGTTCTATTGTGTGTAATTGGTTTGTAAAACGTTGTCGGACTGATAGCTGTTCGTGATTTAAATTTTTTGAAGTAATTGTTGTTTCTTCATAATTTAAATCCAAACCAGCAAAAATTCAAAAACCACAAAAGATAACGTAGGCATAATCTGCATCAGCATTAAAACAAAGTGCAAACAGAAACACACAAACAACAACGAAAGCAACAAAACATAACATTCTGCTATATCTAGGCTTGTTAATATCGATGTATCGCTATCTCAGTTACTGTATCGGCGACACTTTTTCAGTGCTGGTTTCGGTAATGGCAATACTTTTGATGCCTTCTAGACAGAAAAATCGATACTAAATTTACTTTAAAATTTTATTAATAATTAGTTCAATTTTCAAAGTTGATCGAGTTTTCTGACCGGTCAATTCGTGATTCAAAATTAAGTTTCACCCTCTCTTGTATGTTTGGGTTTACTTTTAAAGACTTGCTTTGACTTTGCTGATTCAAAAAATTTATCGTTATGTGGTTATTTTCACTTTATATGTTCAATACCAAATGCATTGGTATAGAGATGGATTACTCTGTAAGCCCGTTCAAAAAATATCTGAGTATTGGTATTGATACTGCCGGCAATATTTCCAAAATGAGTATCGATATTGGTTTCGGTAAAACATTTGAAACCGGTATTGATACCGGTATTGGTGATACGATATTTGAGTATTGTTATATTATACAAAACAACAGAACAAAAAAATAGTGAACTTACAACCTTTTCCAGATATAAAACATTTCTGTAAATTCAAAACCAACAACAACACAAGATGTGGTGACATTATTATTATTATTTTGTTGTTGATGATGTTGTTGTTGTATCTGCCTTTTGTTAACCTCGTTGCTGAAGTCGTAACCTACTATCATGATAAAAAGTTAATGCCATGATGTTAATGTTAACTTCTTTTAATTTTTACATTACCACACATTACATTTCATTACATTACGGTTACATTGCATTAAATTTATACAACGTACAATTACATCACCTTACGTCACCTTAAATTAAATCCTACACCGACTTGAGACATCTGAAATATTTTTGTCCGCAAAAAATATAGCGCCAGTTTAATAAGAATTGTCACATATAAATAAATAAATAAATTTGGAGGCTCTGAATTTTTTTGTCAAAAAATAATTTCGTCTGTATGGTTCGTAATCCTCTGTTGATGTTTTTAAGAATGAAAAATGTTTATAAACAAAAGATAATTAAAATAAACAAAATAATAAACAATTGCGTCATGCCCGTAGATTCATGATCAGTTCGTCGATATGATATAAGTTAGAGGCATTGTTTGTTTATTTATGTATGTTTGTTATTGCATGTTCGTGTGTGTGTGTGAGTGTGTGTCATTATAAAATGAATAAATTAATATAAAATTTAACGATTAGCAGTTTAATAAGACATAATAATGATGAGGTTTATATATAGATATACCACACATGGTCGAAATCCCAAAATCTAAAACTAGAATAAATAAACTGGTCCTATTCGTTTAAACTATTTAAAAACTTTATTTAAAGCGGCAATGACGTCATAATTTCATTATATCTTATCCACGGAATCTCCAGCTGCCAGATGTAATAAATTAACGACATAAACGCTTCAGTACTAATAAATAAATAAATAAATAAAAACACACACAAACACTCACGCACGCAAACACACACACACACACATATACATAGTAAAAGTAATTTAGAATAAGCATAGAACTTAAACTTTCGCGTCTCGATGATGTTAACAGAAATTATTTATCTATGTTTTTTTTTGAAACAAGGAGTACTTGTTTGTGATTTATTGCCACGTTTTTGTTCTGTTTTTATTGTCTTTGAAAAATTAATAATAAAAATTAATTTTATTTATTTTATAACATTTATATAATATATACATCCTATGTTGTATTTACGATTTAAGTATGTAAACATATTCATGCAAAATAAACACGCATGCGTGCAAACACACACACACACACACACACACACACACACACACACACACACACACACACACATACAAGCATACCAAAAACAAACAAACACACACAAACACTTACATGCACACATAAACGCTGCAAAACATGTAATTTTTAATACTCATACATCTTGGAGCATATATATTATACATTAATTAATATATATATATAAATAATATATATATATATATATATGTATATATATTTGAATGTATATATATATAATTCTGTACTACTAATCAAAACGCTCTGTTGATGGTGGCTTTGAAGATAATTATTTAATTATGACTACATTTACATTCGACTCGATAAAAAAAAATTATAAACGAATGATTAAATGAATGAAAAAATGAATGAATGAATGAATAAATGAATGAGTGAGTGAGTAAAGAATATCAATATATATATATATATATATATATATATATATATATATATATATATACTGTTTCATAATAATTTTCTATTTTTACAGTTTTATCAGTATTATTATTAATAATGAAATTGCTGACGTATTTCGTTTTCTATGTTCAATTAGTATTTTATGAGTGTGCGGGTGTGAAATAACTTTAGCAAAGTTATCGGATTATAAGAACTATAAATAATAACATTTTTTCTGGTTTCTTAATTTATTTATTTATTATATAATTATTAAGCGCAATATCACTTTAATAATAAAACTTAAATTATAATAAATAAATAAGTAATATTAATAATTAATTAATAACAATAACGATAATAATATCATTATTACAAAAATTGTGGGATAAGAAACATATAAATCTATTTAGTTTTCAGTTTTTCATTTGTTATAGATAAAATTAACCTCTTAAAGTAAATAAATTAATTAATCAAATTTTTTTAGAAAGAAATTTAACTTTAATTAATTTAATTAATTTAAAAAAATTTCCCGCGAAAGGACGGTTAGGAATTTAAATTGGTTGATGTAACTTTTTGTAATAATAAAAATTATTTCTATAAAAATTATATTATTGTAAGACTATCATTATGTTATATGTATTAACGTTAATAAATGAATTATAATTAACTAAATAAACAAATATACAAACATAAACTTGTATACAAGTATACATCAATAAACATATATACAAATATACAAACATAAACATGTATACAAATATATATATATATATATATATATATATATATATATATATATATATACACATAAAAATATATGCAAAATACATACCACGACCGACCAAATATACATACATATACATCTATTTACCTACAGTATATGCAAATGTATGTAAACTTTTATACATGCATTCGATTCATATAAATTTACAGAAGTATATACATACTTAAATACAAAAATATACAGACGTGTAAAGACTTATATACAAATATACAGACGCATACAAGCTTATATACAAATATATATACCTTAATATATACAAATATTCAAACAACATTCATAAAAATATACAAAAGTACATATGCACACCTACTTGGAAGCTTAAGGCATCATTTAGAACTGAACTTTTACTAAGTACAATCATACGTACATGGAATATTAAAAATCCTTCCACTTTTATGGCGCAGTTTTCTTCTTATTTTGTTTTTATTTCTCTCTATCTTTGTATCTTTGTTTGTTTGATTGTATGTTTGTGTGTGTAATTGTATATATGCATGTACGTCGCGTATGTTTGCACGTATTTGTATGAAGAATGTTTGTATGCCTGTTTGCATGTATGTTTGTTTGTATATATGTATGTCTTTGTATATCTGTATGTATTTGTATGCATGTTTTTGTATATTTGTATGTATTTATAGTATGTCTAAGTATTGTATGTAAAAGATTTACAAATTTATGCAGTAATGAGGGTGATTATTTACACAAGTTTATTTATGCTTGTGCATGCACAGTAGAAAAATTTTGTTTATATGATTGTATATGTGTGTGTATGTATGTATGTATGTATGTATGTATGCATGTATGTATGTTTGTTTGTATGTTTGTTTGTATGTTTGTAGGCATTGTATACATTCAATGTATGGATGCATTGTAAGTTAACAGCGATTTAGTATGGATGGAGTTTCATGTTGAATGTTAGCGTACCTGCGTCTCGAGGAGAATTTTAATAAACACATTCTTAATTTAAGCAAGTATGTATGTATCTATGTATGTATGTATGTATGTATGTATGTATGTATGTATGTATGTATGTATGTATGTATGTATGATGTATGTATGTATGCATGTATGATGTATGTATGTTTGTATGTATGCATGTATGATTAACTTAACTTTTTATGGTCATCCTTTTTTTCTTTGTTTTGGAGACAAATAAAATGTATCGTATCGTATGTGTGTATGTTTGTATGTATGTATATATATGTATGTATGTTTGTATGTTTGCATGCATGTGTGTGTGTGTATACGGGTTATGTGTGTGAATGTGTGCGCGTGTGCGTGTTTGCGCGCATGCATAACAAATGAAGTGAGTCACATTGAAAATTTTCCAAGTTATTTCCTCAACTCAGTATCGATAAATGTTTCTGCAGGTTTTTGATGAATGTACACGTGCGTGTATGTATGCATGTGTGCATGTGTGTGTGCCTGTGTGTGTATGTTTGTGTGTGTGTATGTGTTAGTATGTATGTATGTATGTATGTGTGTGTGTATGTATGTGTGTGTGTGTGTGTGTATGAATGTATGTGTGTGTGTATGTATGTGTGTGTGCTGTGTGTGTGTGTGTGTACGTATGTACCTATATGTACGTGTGTATATACGTTTTACATAAGTGCAATACAACAGAATCCATTTTTTTATATACCTAAGTACAACAAGTTCACAATATTTAAAAATGATACTTGTACAGTATCTATAAATTATATAGTAATTGATAAATAATAAAAAAAATTTGTGAATAAAATGGTTTAAAAAAATATGTCTCAGCCCATTGTATATCGTACGTTTGAATCTTCGTTTCTGATCTAGCTGGCCTTCCAACCAACCAACCAACTCACCATTACACTAACTCGATCAAACATTCCTATAATTCCACTGAATTCCAGACCTGAGTAACAACACACCACGGCCAACCTACATGTATATGAGATTGCGCAGACTCTTGTTCGAACTGAAATTGGAAATTTCCATTAACACATTTAAAGTGGCAATTTATAACATCGTTAGTATTGTGCTTGCCGCTTGGAACTTTCAAAGTGGCAGTCGTAGCAGGATTCTGGAGGACGAAAGCCTAACCCCCTAAAATCTTTTTATATTCATGAGATAGAATGGCGAGAGGATGGTTAAAACCATGGCGAATGGCGATATGATGGTGCCTGGGTTCGAATGCAAACAGATCCAGGTGTGTATGTGTGTTTGTGTGTGTGTGTGTGTTAGATGATGCCTGATATTATTATTATTAATATTATTATTACGATTATTATTACTCTTGTTTTCGTCGTCATCAAGCGAATTATTATATTGATTATTATTTTTTTTTTATTTTATCATTTCTTATGCATTCCCATCCGACGCCATGTTATAAAAATATGAAACAAATTTTTATCTCAAACTAATTTAGATAGATCACCTTCTTTTTATTTACGGAGTTATAAATGTACTAACACATACATATACATACCCTTATACACGCACCAACACACACACACACACAAATACATAAATTCATGCATACATGCATTGCATACATATATTTGTATTATATATTTTAGGATATGTATTATTTATGTATATGAAGGAGGTTGTGATTAGTTACATATACATGTATATAACAAGAAAAAGATAAAGATAGAGGAAGAGAAAGATGTTTGATTTGAATTGATGAATAAATAAAATATCAAAAAAAATATTAAAAAAAAGAAAGAGAGAGAGAGTGAAAGAGAGAGAGTGAAAGAGAGAGAGAGAGAGAGAGACAAAGAGAGATGGAAAAAGTGTGCGAAAAAGATTTAAGCAATATTATTAGATTAATGATTTACAATTAATTGAATTATTATTTAATTCATTTAAGTCATTTAATGCTTCTTCTACAGATTATTTTCTTCATGGAATGAGTGAGAGTTGAGACGTTTCTGCTTCTTTTCTGGATCGTATAAGATGATATCTAGGCTGTTTCACACATTGTTATCATCATCGACGTCGTCTTCGTCATCGTCATAATCTTCTAAATCATCGTCATCATCGTCTACGTCATAGTTGACGTCATCATCTTCGTCGTAATCATCATTATTGTAATTACCAACAACCCGGATAGCGTGTTAACGTTGAAACTCCACAGATCATCACCATCTTAATCATTGTAATCATCTTCGTCATCATCGTCGTCAGTGTGAACAACGGCACTTACACTGGACGGGATATCCTCTGATCACGTGATCAAGTCATCATCATCATCATCATCATCATCATCATCATCATCATCTGAGTTAACACTATCATCAGGAATTAGAAAAGATGTAAAAAGAATACATCAATCTTCAACATTTTTAAACTGATTTAATCTTCAACATTTTTAAACTGATTCATACACACAAACAAACACACATACAACTACACGCACACACGCCCACATACAAGCACACACACATACAAGCACACACACAACTACACACACACACAAAACCGATTATGAACAGAAGAAAGGATTATTTTTTCAACTTAAGTAAAATCAGCAACTTAAAAAATATATAAGAAAGTATGAATATGTATCAGAAATATCTGGACAGAAATCCGACAATCCGGAAAAAAATTTGTCTGCGGGATTAAAAAGTTGAAAAATTCACGGTTTCAACAAAAAATAAATATAAAATATACATTACACAGTCATAATACAAAGCCCAGCAAACATAGATACGAAGCAAATTTTTGAAAAATAATTATACAAACTTTTTTACGTGAAACATTGAGAAATATTCACTTGAATACATGTTATGCAAACATACTCAGCAAACATACAAAACAGAAATGAAATCAGAACTTACAGTCAGGAAAACAGCAATAAAAACATACAAGCCAAAGCAAAACAATTATACAGATATAAGAAAACATTTGAACGAACACAGGCGATAATCGACTTACTTCACTTCAAACACCTGCATAAAAAAAATACTAAAATATCCCCACATACAGGCTAAAAAACAACAAACAACCAAATCCACACACACATACACACACAAACAAACAAAAAAGATAATACAAAAATCAGAGACCAGCCTAACATCAAATCCAACCACACAATGAAATCAACGAACAAATCCTTCTCCCCCAACTTCCACAACCGATCGAATAACGGAAACTCGTCGAGTCGATTGGATAGTCGGTATTCTCGAATGAAATCTACATCCCTGGTGGCCGATGTCATCCTGGCGAACATCAACAGGCTGAGAAGCGGCAGAAGAAGGCACAAGTGGAGGGGGCACCGGAAGACGGAGGAGGACTCCAGGACGATCGATATGTCTTCCGTCATGAAGCAGAATAATCCGGAAGAAAATTTAGGAGCATCTTTGATACAGGTGTTGTTATTGGTGATAATAATGATGACGATGATAATAATAATAATAATAATAATAATGATGATGATTATGGTGAGTGGATGGGTTGATCGTGATGAAGAAAGAATCATGGCTGTTAACCACATTTTTGAAATGTATCGACAATAGAGATAATAATTTTCAAAGGTATTCCGTCCATTTTTAAAATTTGAAATGCAGTTTTAATAACAAAACACGCAACAAAAAATTGTTTTTGTTCAACAAAAATGGCCTTCGTTATAAATTATGAAGCGCAATTTATTCAACATGATTGAAATGAATCGGTATCAAACAGCAACAGCTCATAAATGTTTTCCGTACTAACCAACCATCCATTCAACCAACCAACCAACCAACCAACCAACCAACCAACCAACCAACCAACCAACCAACCAACCAACCAACCAACCAACCAACCAACCAACCAACCAACCAACCAGCCTACCAACCAACCAACCAACCATTCTATCAACACAGGCAGCCAGAAACGGACTGACAAACAGAGTGAGTGAGTACTTGGAGAACAGTGACTTCAGCAGCATCGTGAAGGAGGTGGATGAAGAGGGCTACACGGCTCTCCACTACGCTGCCCGCTACAACCAGATTGACGTCATGAAGCTGCTGGTCGAAAATGGCGCTGGTTCGTTCACATTTTTTCACACATATTTCTAGTCTAGGTTCTAGTTTTTTTTTGTTAACCATTTTTAGGTTAAATTGTTTTTATTTATTTAAACTTTATTTTTATTTTTATTTATTTAAGTTTGTTATTGTTTTTGTTTGTCTGTTTTTGTTTTTTTCTTCTTGAACTTTGTTCGGCCATTTAATAAAAACTTAGTTATAGTGACAAATAAATTTATAACAACGACATTAATAATAATTAATATGAATTTGAAGATGAAACAAACAAGCCAGCAATTAACTGAGTAGCAAGTAATTGTTTGTTTGTACCTAGAGCGACAAACAGGATGAAGCATAAGTAAGCACAATGACATATCAACCTACCCACTCAAAAATGTGACCGTTGAATGCCTTCTTCAGTGTTAATGAGAATAATAATTGATCTGAATAACAATCAACCCAACCAGATGTGAACGTGAAACAGAAGCAGGATGAAGTCTGTCCTCTGCATCTCGCTTGCAGGTTTCTGCACATCTGTACTTTTTTGTACTGCTTGTACTTATTGTTCTTTTGTAGCTAGCTTTTTTACGTTTGTACTACTTGCTTCGGGCTGGATTGAAGGGAGACCAGGAGAGGGGGGCTACTTTATTGCCCAGGGCCTCCGAATCTCCAAATCCGGCTCTGTACTTTCTGAATTTACTTAATAATTATGTTTAATAAGTTGTCTTACTTCAAAAGTTTTATTTTGTTCATTTGATTTAATATAGCTTTCGTTGTTCGAATTTGTCTGCAACTATATGAACAATTCAGGAAATGAAATGATTTTATTTCTAGCTTTATTGCTCTCAAGCCCGATGATCTTATCTTGTATTTATTTATATTATTTTCATTCAATTATGTTACTCAAATTAATCTTTCATTTATCTAAATGTTTCACGTATATAATTTGTTTAATTATCTAATTTTAATTTTTAAACTCTATGAAATATCGCAAAAGCCTGTATTCAGATTAGTATAAAATTTAGCGATTCCATTACAAGTTACACTTGCTTTAGACTGCGTAAAACTCAGCGCACTGACATAAGTGCCAGCAGTACCAAGCTGTAAAAGTTTCATTGCAATCGGTTTTTTAATAAGAACCAGAAAAAGGGCCGTTTTAGGTAGAAAATCGTCGACCAAAAACTGGACGGGGTAAATGAAAAAAAGGTGTTCAGCCACACTACCACAAATTTTGCCCCCCCCTTGTGAAAATTCCCCCTTCCTCCGTGAAAATTTTGGCCTTCTCCGTGAAAATTTTGCCCCCCTCATAAAAATTTCTGTCACTGAGCGTACGTGCAAATGCATCCTTCATACGATGTTGATTCAAGACTATATTTTAATCGGCTTCTACGGTAAAGAATGACGTTTTTTAATAATAATGATAATAATAATTTTGGAAGATACCAATATCACCATGGAATTTTTTTATTCGTTTGTTTTATTTAAATGATTATTTATTTATTTTTATTTTTCTTTGTTTAATTTTAATTTTATTTCATTTCATATTTGAGTTTTTTGTCTGTGTAATTCTGCGTACATGAAATATTTTCTATCGCATATAAACTAATAAAAGTTGCTGGCTGACAAGTAGCTCAGACGGTAGAAGTGCCTACCGTATTTCGTGTCGTTGCTACTGCGTGACGACCGACCTGGTACTAGTTCGATTACAAGAGCCATCGTTTCTATGATGCGGTGTTTAGTTGTTTGTTCTTATGTGCATAGAGATATGTGTGTATGTAGGTATGTATGTATGTGTGTGTATGTATGTGTGTGTATGTGTATGTATGTATGTGTATGTTCGTCGTGTGGTATTGATATGTGTGTAGTCCTTGCGGTCCTAAGTAGAGAGTATTATATTTAAGCAGTTAAGAGGGAGCATGAGAAAACTGAATTAAAGTATTTTTGAAGGCTCTTTGCGTGTATTCTTATGGTATTTTTGTATTGGTGAAGAATGTAGTGGATGATTAAACAATTGATCTGTTGTGGTGAATGAATACTTCAGGTACAACGGGTACGATGCGGTCAAGTTTCTACTTGAACAACAAGCCGAACTAAACAGTAAAGATGTTAAAGGTTATAACTGAGATTGGATGGATGATTGACTGGATGAATGAATGAATGAATGGATGAATGGATGAATGAATGAATGAATGAATGAATGAATGAATGAATGAATGAATGAATGAATGAATGAATGAATGAATGAATGAATGAATGAATGAATGAATAAATGAATAAATGAAGGAAGGTGAGAAAGAATGAATAAACAAATGAATGAACAAGTGTATAATTAAATTATTATTTATTTGCCCACTGTCACCCGTTTTTCATTTCCAATTGAAATATGCACCAGGTAGAAGCCCACTTCATTACGCCACCAGGAAAGGTCATGCCCAGGTCATCAAGGTCAGCGGCTTCTCTCTTTGTTATTATTATTATTATTGTTATTATTATTATTATTATTATTATTATTACTACTACTACTACTATTATTCGAGTCACACAGCTCAATAAGCTGGAACAATAGATGAATCCAAATTTCATCCAGAAATTTCAGGATTTGATCCTGGTACTTCTCTGAGTATGTGAGCAGTTCCGCCACATCCAATTTTACTATTAAAACATTTTTTCCTATCCGGTTTATTACTGTTACTATTATTTTTATTATTATTACTATTATTATTATTATTATTATTATTATTATTATTATTATTATTATTATTATTATTTTATCGCTGTTATTACATACATTCATTTATTATTATTGCTCTTGTTATATTTGTTTGATATAATGTATTCATTTAATGAAACTCTTTATTTTTAAATATCAATCATTTTTACAACACACACACTCACGTGCACACACACACACACACATACACACACACTAATACACACACATTCATACACACACTCACACTTATACACACACACACTAACACACGCGCACACACTCATACACACACATTCATACACACACTCATACACACACTCATACACACACATTCATACACACATTCATACACACACTCATACACACACGCACACGCGTACACACACACACATCCACATATAAAAACACACATATATGTACATTAACATGTACTGTAGTAAAGATTTGCATTAAATTTGGCATCCGGAGAACGTTGTATGCACTCTCTACACACATTTTTAAAAAATGGAAAAATATCAAAATAAATAATAAAAAGTAAAAATAATCAACGACGAAAAATAAAATGAAGAATATATCAGCGAATAAAATATTTAAAAAAATACAAAAAATCAGAATAAAAAAGTGAAAAAAAAGTTAACGATCTTAAAAATGTTTACATGCAGAAATATCAGGAGTTTTGCTCTTTTCGTTAGCGATATGTATGCATTGCAGTTTATTGAAGAGAGGAGGAAGAAGAAAGAAATAGAAAGAGAGAGAGAGGGAGAGAGAGAGGACAGAAAAAATAAATATACTCAGGTATAGACAGTCAGACAGCTAGAAAAAGAATAAAACATAGGACAAAGAAGAGGTAGGAAAAGAGATGGAAAAATATTAAAATATTTTGAGAGAGATTGAAAAACGAAGAAAAACCAAAAAAAGAGAGAAAGAGTCAGAATTAAATAGAAAAAGGAACTCGAGAGAGAGAGAGAGAGAGAGAGAGAGACAGAGAGAGACAGAGAGAAAGAGAGAAAAAAAAGAAAGGAAAAGAAAAGAAAAAAAGTGAAACAAATGGATACATACAAAAAATGAAATATATAAAAAGAAAGAATGACAAAAAGTTCAAGTCAATGAAAAGTTAGAGAGAGTGAGAAAAGTAAGAGCATCATATCAAACTGGATGAAACCGAAAGGAAAAGAAAGATAGTGAAAAAGAAGGAGAAAGAATAGATGAATGAGAAGATGAAGCAGCAGTCATATGAAAAAGAAAAAATTAAAAAAAAGATTGGAAAGAGATAAAAAAAGACCGAAAAGAAAGAAAGAAAAAAGAAAGAAAGAGAAATAGAGAGAAAGAACAAAAGAGAGTGAAGAATATAGTAATTTGAATTATAAATTGGATGAGGAACAATATTAAATGATAAACAGAGACAAAATGAAAGCAGAAGAGAAAGAGAGAAAGGGATAAGAGAGAGAGAGAGAGAGAGAGAGAGAGAGAGAGAGAGAGAGAGAGAGAGAGGCTAGGTGGTAAAAAATTACCATTCGTTAATGCAGGAATAGAATAGGAATATTGCAACTATATAAACACAAATGTAATATTATGTGTGTATTTATTTGTATATATGTAATTTATGTATTTATTTATATATTTGTTTATATATATATTATGTATTTGTATATATATATATATATGTATTTGTATATATATATATATATATATATATATATATATGTTTGTAATAGACCATAATTTTTACAATATCCTATAAATTTTACCGAAGGTTTGGCGTTAATATGTTTGTAGTTCGTTTTTCGATTTTTCTCACTAAAGTTTTTTGGAGAATGTTCAGTTTACTAAAATATTGATTTTGTCAAAGTGAACTTAGATGGAAATTAGGTGTCAGGTTTCTTTATTGGCTGGTCAATCTTTGTTGGTCTCCTTTTCTTCATCGATAGCATCATATTTTCTTTTGTCACTATTTACAATGCTAGTTTTTATTACTTCTTTGTTTTCGTTGTTGATTAGGCGCCGGGCTGGGAGTGAGGTTGTCATTTTTTGTTGTATATTTATTTTTGGTTTATTGATGTCAATTAGGACTGCTTCTGCAATTTTAAGATGCGTGTAGTTGCTGTTCTGGTATATTACTTTGGTGTTGCTGTCGAGGATTTCACGGCTAACAGTAATTGAGTGTGTTGAGTCCAAATGAGATTTGAT